ATATATTTTTTTTTTTTTTTGTAATTAAAAAAAAGAATTTATTTTTTTATGCCATTCAATTGGGGTGTGAAACAAGATAATGGATGGGATTCATGGTGTAATTGGTTGTTTTCGCATCCGATGGTGGTTCTCATTTGCTTCAACAGTATTTCCACTTTTTTTTTTTTTATTTGTTGCATTAGTTTTTATTTATTTTATTTTGCCATTTTTTGGGGGGAAAAAAATGGTTTCCAAATTCCACTTGAATCTGATAAGTAAAAAAAAAAACATCCACTTGAATGTTGAAAAAGAACATGTAGTCATGTAAGGTGGGCCCGAATTCCAGACCTCTGATAGAACCGTGAAACATGTGGGTTTATCTTCGCTGCTACGCTCGGGGTAAAAAATAAATAAATAAATGTCTTTTTTTTTTTTTTAATCTTTGGAGATCACTAGTCAAAAGTTCGCACATTGTTGCCAAAAATATTAATATTGTTGTATTATATAAAAAATTAAAAAAATTTATAGTATAGAATTAGTTGATGTACACATATATAGTTAAAAGTTTCTTACAATGTATTATAATTTTTGTTTCTTTTTTTTAATTTTTTTTCTTTTTAACTATAAAATACAATTTTTTAAAAAATTAATAATAATAATTTATGAAGTTGAAAATCTTTAATTATATATAGTATAAATCAAAAGATTTAAAAGTAATTATATTACCTAGTCCTTAGGTGATTTTGAGTGGGTCTATTGCTTTTAATTCAGAACTAAATTGATTAAAAATTATTAATATATGAATTTAAAATAATAAATGTTGATTTTTATTGATAATTGATATAAATTAGTAAATATGACTTACCTTGTGGTTAATCTTTTTAGATCTGGAGTTTTTGGATCTATTATTATGGCAGCTGATATTTGTGATAGTGCTATTGAAATATAGACATCTTCAAATATTTTTGAAACAACTCTAGTTATTTGTGCTCATCTTTGTTGAAATTAAACTTGCAAGATTTTTTTTTTGTCCTTTTAACTGAGCAATGATTGGTGGAATTACAAATGGATCAGTAAAGTCTTCACCAATTGCTAATGTTCATCAATTGTTGATGTAGAGCATGATTTTTTATCAATGCTTGTACTGCTCTTCCAACCACTAAAGTAATTTCTAGTTTAATTTATTTAAAAATGTGTGACTTTATTTTATTTTAGTGTATTTTTATTTAATTTTATTTTTCATTCAAATTATTTATACTATAATCATTTGAGAGGTTTTAAAAATTTAGCGCAAAATGATATTGAAATGGATAAAATCGGACCACAAATCAACACCTTTCTTTTTCAATGTTTTTCTTTTTTAGTCTTTGTTTAGTTTTAGTCTTAAACGCGCGCTACGCGCACATGATTAATTTAAAATAACGGCTAATACAAATTGTTTAAAAAAAAGAAGTAAAAAAGACGACATAAAAGAAATGAAAATAATAAAGGGGGAAATCTCAAGCAAAGAGAGAGGAAAAATAATCTAACTTATTTTGTTGTGTTTTAAATTAATTCTATGTTATTTGTTTATTTTTTATTTAATTTGGTGTTATTTGATTTTAATTTAGCGTATTTTTATTTCATTTTATTGTATTATTTATGGTATTTTTATTTAAGTAATATAAAAAAATTGATACAAATGGTGGTAAAACGGACAAAATTGAACTCCAAAACCATTTAAAATAATAAATAATTATGATAAAGAATAAAAATCTAAAAAATAAATTAGAAATGATTTGAAACTGTCCGATCAAAAATTTTGATGGCTGTGATTCGCGCGTGAAAAACACACGCAAGAGAAGTGCGTTCAGCGAGGGAAAGAAGGCAGCTTTGCAGTTTTTTGCGGTGGGGCCCCCCGCCACTTTTTCTTTTGGGTAGCCGAGCGTCGACACGTGACAATCTTAGAACAAAAGACGTAAAAGCCCATGCGTAGGGAATAGAAAAGAGAAGACAAAAAGGGTAAAATTGATAATTCACACCCAAAAGACAAGGGACATAAGCAAACTTTCAGGAATGTTACTGTACAATGAATAATAAATTGTGACTGTGTGCAGTATGATCATTAAATCATTTAATTAATTAGACATTTTCAATAAAATGTAGACTTGCACGTTATCATATGGGAACTATTACATCATCATATTTTTTTATAATTGGTTGAAAACAGATATTTTTTGTGGTCATTTATTAATTTATGGGTTCGGATTGTACGAATTTAAACCTTTTTAATTTTAAAAAGTGCGTAAACTTTTTAATTTAAACTTTTGAAAACATGAGCAGATTGAGTTTAGAAATTCTTGATTTTAAATGGTTTAAACGTCATAGCAAAATTTATATTACTTTTTTATTTTTTAACCAAACATTTTTTTTTTATCATCAGCATGACATTATCTAATACGTCCAATGTCATGACTCATGAGCAAATGACTACTTTATTAGGAATAATTTATTAGCTGTAAATATAAAGCTAGTATTTTAAGAGTACAAAATAAGATTTTTTTTTTTTTTTTTAAGAATACAAAATGTATAAACGTATTTGACAACACTACAAGATGAAGTGAAACGTTATATACATTCCCATCAACATGTTTGGAAAGTGCTGAACATTACCATCACGTAGTCAACTAAACTAAATAGTTTTGTCATAAATGTGATACTAATTACAAGTAATCAAACGAGATCTTATGACATAATTTGTTGTTAGTTGAAACAATACATTCCTACGAATGCGACATTTAATTTGCAATATGTCTTTGTCATGGATAATAACCGCTTTATCAGGCGAAGTTGATGAAATAGAAGTATAAAACAAGTATTTTAATGTTCAAAATTGAATTTTAGAGATAGAAAAATGTAAATAAGTATTTGAAAAATACTTTTAAAAAATGACTTTATACATTACGTATCACTACTCAATTCAACTTACTAAATATATTTATATCAAATGCGAGACTTTGCAAGTAATTATTATATAAAAATTTATCCACGTCATATGTTGTGATAGTTGAAAACAAGACTTTCCCAATCATTGCAATATATATCTTCTATATATACTAATTAAATGCCGGGTGAGTAATTTTGTAAGTTAAGCTTTGATTACCACCTTATTAATTTTTAATTTATTTAACAATAGATATTTGAGCTGGTTGTTAATACGCAGTTAGACTAACATATTAAAAAGGATAAGGGTTACAAAAAAAAAGTTATGGACACAATTTAAAAATATATTTTAATAGAAACAATCTAGAAAAAAAAACATTTAAAAGAAATATATTAAAAAATAATTCAACTGTAGAAGAGCTTTAGGCAAAAAGAAATAAAAAATAAGCAGTAAGATATGAAATAAATTACTTTAGTAGGAGTAAAAAAGGGGAAAAACAGTAATTCAAAATTACCTTAATAAGAATAAATTAGTGAAACTGAAAGGATATGTGAAAAAACCGTAAAAAAGACACATTTGAGGAAAAAACAATTGTTGATTGGGCTAATTAGGAAAAAAATTATAAGTAATAATAAGAAGAAAAGTAGAAAAGAAAAAACGGAAAAAGCAAAAAATAAAAATGCCAAACGATAAAAAAATAAAGGAGAAAAATAAATAAATAGAAAAAACTGTGAAGGGAGAAGCGGTGGAAGTACATATTGGCACTTTTAAATATGTAAGATAAGATAAGACAAGATATAAGATATGATAAGATGTAAGATAAATTTCATTTAATGAAAAAAAAAAAATTATAAGAACCAATCAAATACAAATCTTATTAGAGAAACATATGAGTAAGAAAAAAACCTGTAAATAGGGCACATTTGTTGAAAAAAATTAGTGGAGCAATTAGGAAAACAATGTATTTACGAAGATCATATCTAACAAAAATATTTTAGGGGATTTAAAAAATATTTAAGTATAGATATATTTGTGAAAAATTATCATAATAGAAACAAAATAAAGAAAAATAGTTACAAAAACTACATTTAAACAAAACAATATTTTTAAAAAGAAACCATTTAAGTGTAGGTCACGTGTTTGATAAAAATTATTACAAATAGGATATAAATTGAAAGAAAATGTATTTTATTATATTATAGTTTAAAGTATAAAGTTTTTAAGGAGAAAGACAAAGAAGAAAATAAGAAAAAAAAACAAAAAAATAATACAGTACAAGACAAAATAACTTCACTACAAAATGAAATAGTATCAAAAGAAAACTGTCTTTTATAATAGTAATAGATAAATGATAATAGATAATATATATATATATATATATGTGTGTGTGTGTGTGTGTGTATAATATATATATATATATATATATATGTCGTGGAAAATAATCGTTTTATCAGCAGATATTGCAAAAATAGAATTATGAAACAAGTATTCGAGAATTTAAAATTGAAAGGAATACATAAACTTATACACAAGTATTTGGCGAATATTTT